CACACCCACCCACACCCTAATTCAATTATCACAATTATTATTTTCTTTGTGATTACCATCTTCGTAAGGACTATTATTAAAACTATCTTATCGGTTAGCATTATTATTACCTTCTCCTCATGAATTTTTTTCATTCTTCCATCGACGTTATTGATGTGTTAGTATATTTTTTTGTTTTTTCTCAATTGTTCAATTAATGAAGGAAATAATTCTCTTACTTTAATGTTGATAAAGTTCTACTTTTTAATTCAAGGTTATCTCTCGCTGCAGAAAGGGTAACATTGATAGATGTCTGGTAATGATAGTTCTTCTCAAATACGAAAATTTAAATCGTAATAGGAATTCTGAAAGTATGTTTTCGTTGTCATTTTGTAGACACATATTATAAGTAAAATAATAATATCTGTTTTTTGCAACAAAAGCATGTACAGTATTAATGACTCGCTAGATATGTTGCTGAAATAACTTGAAGAATAGATTTGTGTGTTTTGTTTATTTAATCAAAATCTGCCAACATATTTGGATAATGATTGATTCTTATGTTTTTCGATATCGAATTTGTATTCGATCGAACTTGATTATTATTTAATAATATATTAGATTTGTTAAGATCTTTTGATGATGACAATTGATAATTATCTACAATCGAATCTTGATTCATTTCGATTTTATTTCGTAAACAAGATATTTGATTTTGATTATTTGTGGATGATATTGTTCTATCATGTAAAGATAATTCAACTGAAGGAATTTTAATTTGATGATAATGTCTAGCAGTTTTATCAGAAGATTTCATACGTTTAAATACAAGCATTTGTTTCTGTGTAAGGTGATCAGATGATTTTATTTGTTTTGTTTTAGTCGAATTTAAATTATTATTTTCAATCGATGTTTGTTTATAATTTTGAATGAGTTCTTTGGTAGAGGCAGACATGTTAGATGACAATGAAGATGATGATGGTGTATCAAAACTTGTTGTTGTATGATGATTATAAACATTTCTATGTTTATGTTTATGTTTATGATGAATTGGTAGCCGTATAGAATTTCTCGATAATGATCGATTACTATTTTTATCCTATAATAAATATTACTCAATCAGAATTATATGAAAAAGATTTATATACAGATTCGTGATTATAATGATAAGAATTTGAAGATAATTGATGTTGTATTTGAGATCTATTTGTTGATTTTTTACGAAATGGAAGAGATTCATGATGATCAATCTTTTTATTTTTATCAACAATAATGTTTTGTTTTGATCTATAAAAAAAAGTAATACGAAATATTACATCGATATAAAAGATACGATTTAATCTATTTTACTTTGTTTTTGATTGTCTACCTATTGGAGTCATGCTATTCGTTTCGGATATTATTTCACTTGAAGATGTTCGATTAATAAATGGTATTTTAGCATCTTTTGATGGTGTTACAATTTTCTTAAAAGCATTATTCTGCAAACGTTTTTCTTTCTTAACAAATGATGATGTTTGATTTCTGGTATCATCTGTTTTTTGATTATCATTATCATCTTGTAGTACTTTTGTTGATGAAAGAAAAGACTATAGTAAAAATAATTTATCGTTTTGTTTACATAGAAATTTATTCAATAAACCTTAATTGAATTAGCAAATGCATACCAATCGGTGAGATGTCCAGCATCCATACAATAACATTTAAGAACTTCAGTAACAAGAATTCGTATTAAACGATCCGAATCAATATCAGTCTTAATTATATATATATATATATACATAACAAGAAATATTAGAAAAAAAATGTGCTACATGACAAAGAATTCGTTCAATATTTTGTGGTAAAGAATAAGATAATTGATGTAACTATTCAAAAAATAAAATAAATGCATATACAAATAGAAATATTATTACAGTATCAAGTGATATATGATTAACAACTTGTCGAAGAACATTTGTAACAATATAATCAATATATTTATGTTTATTATCAAATATGTTTGATAATGCCTAAACATTATTTTTGGATGCTTTTTTATTTATGATCAACATATCATTGTTTTATTTAAACTATAAGAAATTTACCTACAAACTGATTTCGATATGAATCTGTAGGAGTTGAACATGACAAATTAATTTTAGTGTTGCATGTTGATTTTACAGAATTATTTATATTCATATTCTTTACAAAACCACTATTTGATAATTTTATTGGATCACAACAATTACCACATACTTCTACACAACATTCTTGACCAACATCATTTTTACATTGATAAAAACTGTAGAATTTCAAAGATAGAAATAAAAATCTATTGAAAATATATAAATAAACTTACGATTTTTCAACACATAATGGAATCTTTGTATCACAATTATCTATTATAGCTGATTGATTATATTCATTATTTACTCTTGAACTAAGTCGATATCGAACACCAGTACATTTATCTAGTATAAAATTTTATCGCAAAAAAATTATTTATATTCTACTTACTCCAATTATTACAATTCATTATGTTTTACATATATAAATTAAATAAAAATAAAATTTTTAATGTTAACAAAGAAAAAAAATTTATATGCGCCAATTTTATTTTTTAATAATCAGTATATTATTTACGAAGGAACTATTCAAATTGTAATTCATATATTGAGTCCATAAGGAAGTCTTGGTAAGGTTAGAAAAAACTTCAAAGGGTTTGTTCTTATGGACCCGTGGAATCGAATTATGACCGTTTTGATAAGTTTTCAACCTATTTTTAGGTATTTACTGAAGAATCAAATAACGAAATTTCAACCTGCAATTTTGTTTATAGATAAGCCTAATAATCCTTGAAATATCTTGAAAATTTTAGTCAAAACAAGTGTTCCTTTGTCGAGATATTGAAATTGCTTGCCACAAAAATTGACTGTAGGCTTGCCGTGATCTCCTTGTAGATTCAATATGAATTCAAACAACAGATTACAATTCGGGTAGTTTCTACGTTAGTATAAAATGTAATAGATTCATTATCACTATGTTTTATTTAATAAGAAAATCACAATGATTAGAAATAAATTAGCAAAATAAATGAAACAAAAAAATACACATAAATAAAATCTATTCTATACGAATGTATAAACAAAAAAAAAACATCTATTATTATGTCTTCATCTTTTTTGCCATTGATCGAGTTATTCGACCATAAGTATATCGAAACTAGAAAATAATAAAAAAATAATACATTTTTTTTTATCATTATAAACAAAAAAATTTTCTTTTTTTTTACTTCTTCAAGTTCTTCATAATGAATTTTTTTAGCAAATAGCCAATCATCAGATATATTACCTTGTTCATCGACTATAGAAATAATTAAATGAAATTATTTATTTCCAAAAATTAAAAATTGATTATTTACATGTTGGTTTTATTTTTGATGTTTGATGATGACGACTTGGTTGTGGTTGTGGTTGTTGTTGAATAATTCTTTTCTTTTTAGTTTTTGTTGTTGATTGTCGTTTAATAGTTAATTTCGAATAATCAGGATTACGACGAAGCCATGTTGAAAGACGACAACGACAAAATGGACAAGCTAATGTTGAATGAGCACATATCATGTGAAGACATGATAAACATAACTATTTAAAAAACAAACAAAAAAAAAAAAAA